AAGGAGAAAAGAACTTGTTCCTGCCTCGCTCAGGCGGGACGATGCCATCAGGATTAAGAAGAAGTTGACACTGATCAGACAGAATTCTCTATTTGAATGGAATTTATGCATCATGTATGAAGTGTATGAATATGCAACAGGCTGTTGTTTTTAAGGGTTTATCCTCGGTTAACGTGGGTCCTTTTTTGGGCTTGTGTCTGTAACTTTGTTTCTGTTGTCTCATCTTGTCCTAATTCAAATTGTCCAAATTATTATTACTCTAATTGTATTACTATTTTTATAACCATTTTATTACTATGAAACTTTTAAAATTTTAAAAAAGAGTGATTGGCATTTTTCACACAATGAAAACTGGATCTTGATCGAGCTTACATTGGAGACAGGCACTGAGCTTTCTTGGACTGCAGGAGTTCTGGGCACACTCAGAAGGAGAACCTGAAAGTTCTCAAAGCATTTCAAATTAAAGAGAAAGGTACCTGCAGGGTTAGGTGGAGCAACTTGCCATTTTTGTTTAAATAAAATGTTTTCTCCATGTAAGTATCAGAACTTTTCATCAGATCTAATGCTAGATTTCTCTTTTATGCAGCTTTCAGAGACAAGTGTATGTTTTAATGTAGTTAATGAATATTTGAAGAGATTAAAACTCTGGTGGTAGGTGTCAACAGCTGCAGTTCAAGCTGTTGGATGTATGCACAAATTATGTAGCTAGATAAACCTGGCAAACTGTGAGTGCTTTATCAAAGTCTTGTGAATGTAGTGAATTTTGGATGCAATCCAAAGGACTTGCACTGAACATGATTTAATAGATTTGAACAACTAAACCAACAGATACACTGTACTTTACAAATGTGCGAGGCGACAGATTCCAAGGCAGTCTTAAAGGGTGTGATATTCTAGATGTTCTTTATTTATGATTACCCCCTCACTACCCCCCAAAAACCAATCAAACAAGCAAAAACACCCTAAAAAACCAAAAATGAACAAACAAACAACAAAATGAGAACTTTTCCTATCAGTGAAAACATGACTTTGGAACAATGCTCTACTTTCATGCTTGCTTCAAGTTGGCATTGTCAGTAGCTGGCAAATAAATAATCTGACCAAAAAAAAAAAAAAACCAAAACATTGAAGGAAATTGAAGTTGGCTTCATATATATGTAAGTCACCACGGTAGAAGAGGCTAAAAGCTCAGAGCACTTCTGAACTTGATTGAGTTACTGTCTGTTTCTGTAAGATGAATCTCACATTCTTGTTGTGAGTTAAAATAGAGGGGCTTGCATTGTTTTAATAGGTCCTGTACACAAGCACATGTTCAGGAATTTCTGTTAATACATAGATGCAGATGTATGTGTGTTGGCAGGACTTACAAGAAGTACAGATTGATGCTAAAATGACACAGGAATTCATGGAAGTGAAATACCATCCACTCACAATACACAAAGGGCACAGTCACATGAAAAGCCACATGTGAGTAGTCCCATGATAATTAAGAGGTTAGGGTAACATTGGCTTTCTGCAAAATTTCAAACCTCTGAGTAGGAAGATGTTTCTTGAAGTTAATTAGCCAAAGGGTAGCTCTTATCTTTGACTTCTCAGAAGAACTTTCTTCCTCTTTTCTTAACTTTCTCTATCTGTGGTGTTTGTCCAGATAATTCTGTGTATTGTGTCATTTAACTCCTTGAGAAATCTTTCTTGTCCTTATCAGCAAATTTCTGTGATTGGCAATGAGCTTATTAGGTTAGGTTTTTTACTGCCATTTTCCATCCCCACCCCTTTTTTAAATCTCCATTACAAATTAATATTTTTATTTTCTAATGCTGTGAGAAAGGGTCTGGGTGGATGTCAGTAAATATCAAGTTAAGGGATGGTTATGATGGGCTCATTTCATTGCTTGGTAGCAGTGCCGAGTAATTGCAATTGCTGAGCAATAGCTTGGTAATTGCTGCTGAGACAGCAGCAGCAGCTGGGAGGTGTTACAGCCACTCACCTGCACTGTGAAAGGGGAGGAGACTTTAGGCAGGGTCCTTTAATCATTTCTGTGACCCATTGCACATTTCATTATAGGGAATGAAACACTTCTCCCTGTCATTGTCACCCCTGGAGTGGTTTGTATTCTATTTCATTCTGTGAGGTAGTTGGTTGGTTTAGTTGATTGATTTTCTGGGAGGGTGTGTTTTTGTTAGTTTTTTTCCTCCACCCAGTTTCATAGATCAATCTTGTTCTCATCCAGCTTGGAAGTGAAATAGGGAACACTGCTGAAAAGTCAAATGTTTTAGTGCAGTGGAGAAAGTCTTGCGGACTCTGAAGTAGACGAGTGTGGGTTATTCTAGTTAAGAAATTAATATATATTCTGCTTTATGCAGGGTTACTAAAGGGTTTTTGCTAGAAAGGTCTATAGTGCTTTTCAGCCCCTTCTGGGAAGGCAATTTGACTTTTACAATGCAAGGCTTATTGAACACAAGTACACTTCATCAGGCTTTTGAAAGTTTCCCTGCCAAATTCATGTTATTCAATCCCAGTGTTAACTGTGTAGCCATTTCAGGTATTCATTTTGCCCTGGATCTTCTGGAGGGAAAATGATTGTCACGTTTGCACATTTTCATATCAAAGACACCACTGCCAAAATGACATGCCTTTCACTAGGCTGTAAGCACCTAGGCTCTTAAACAATCTGGAAAGCAAGCTTTTCAAGTCACTTAAATATTTAGCAGTTTTTACACTATGTGCTACAAATGATATTTCAAAAGAAATGCATCTATGAGTTGTGGTGAGAGGTGTTTTGCAAGAGGCATTGAAATGCAGATGAAAGTAGAGTTAGTAGTGCAGCCTGCCACTGACAATGAAGATACAAATGAACTGAAAAAAATTGAAAACATATGCATGGACTTTAGGCACTCTTTTAAAGAACAGTCTTCAGAAACACTCTGGTCCTTCTCTTGTTACTTTGCAAAATTAGATCTATCATATTATCTTCCCTGTTTTTCAAACGAGGTGCAGTTTATAGAAGGGATTAGTGGAGTGTACATTGCTTTTTCAGTGTTTTTGTACCCTGGAGCAGTGTTCTTTTGAGACTGTGTCACCCCACACAAGGTTTTTGGATGAAAAGATTTTTGTGGAGTGAAAAATCTGAAAGAGTATATCTGAAAAAAGACCAAGATGATAAGAACTTTAAACCATGTTGGTTACAATGCACGTCACAGACGGATTCTCCATCTTCAATAAGTGATATAAACAACTATTGTACCTCAGTATGCTTGGTAATTAAGAGTCAGGTTGTAGGCAGAGACATTTATTTCCTTCTCAGTTCAGAATTAGTAAATCCTGTGTTAGGGGATCTGTGCTGGATGTATGGACTTGCCTAATGTTTAAAGGAATGCAGCTTTTACTGAATGTGCTAAAATCTCAAATGGTGTGAACTGTTGCAGGAGATCCAGACTAAAAATCTGTTCTCAGAAGTGCTTCCCATCTTATAACAAGCCAATTTTACAGTGTTAAGTAGTGACAACTATGAAGAAGTTTGAGAAAACCTCTGATATCTACTGACAACTGTGAAGCTGCAGGAGAGGATGAAGTTCAGCTCAGCCTTAGTGTTTTCTTCCTCAGGACTGCCTCAAACCTGTTACATACAGAACTTTTGTTGTGATGCTTTCCTAAGTACTCAACTTTTAATGCCTTCCATTAAGAAACTAAACAATCAAATCATTAATCAATTGTGGAATTCTCTTTTGAAGATGTTACAAGTATTTTGGGATTTCCTAATCCAGATTTGTTGTTGTTTGATTTTTAGGAGAGGGTAGGGAGTATTTAACCTGTCCAGCTGCAAACAATCTGCATTTTCCTAGCAGCAGGATCTGTACTTTGTCTAACTGCACATTTCTTCCGTTCTTGCCAGTCCTGTCCCATTCTAGGCAGTTTTCAATTATCTGGCTGTCTGACAGAAATTGAGAGCTCTTTATCTGTGAACAGCAATGTTCTCTTGTTTCTCTTCACTCCACTGCATTTCAGCATGTAACCACTTGTAAAGGGAAAGATACAGACAGTGGCTGACCAAGGTTTGAAATGTATGATTTATGTTCTAATAGTGTTTTATTTCCTCTTTCCCTCCCTCCTTGCCACTTTCCCACCAGCCCTTCTGATTTATGCTGTATTTCCTTACTGCAAGGATCTCCTTCCAGCCTGAAAATTCGGGTGCATTTTAGATGCCCAATATATGATTTCAAATTTAGTAAAATAAGAACTTCCCAGATGTCTGAACATTTGAGATTATTTACAAACAAATGGAAGTGTGTTTGGGTAATCCTCCCAAGGGCTGGGAGGGTTTCTGTGTTTTCACAGTAGTGGTGATGCACTGATAGTACTTAGAAATAAGATCAGTTAAATTTCTATTCAGAATGCTGTTTAACTCCAGATTTCCTCCTTCACTGTGGGTAAGGCATTTCACTTCATTGTGGGTAGGTTTTCTATCTCTAGTAGAGGAAACAACGCTGCTCTTCAGGTTTTTTCTGCAAACTGTATAAGCACTCAGAGTCATCCTTGCATTGCTCACCAAATGCAGAATGTATTAATAATATTAGGTACATTAGAAGTTATAAACCCAGTTTCATTTCTATGAATTTTATTAACACAAGACTTTAAATGAGACTGTTTGCTTTATTGTTATACAAGTAACATACCAGGAATGCAAATTCAAAAGGCAAGTAAGTCTGACATCAGATTTGCTTTCTTGGGAATCAAACCAAGATTTTGCATCCCACAGTATTTCTGCAGAGCACTTTGGTAATACTGAAATCCTGTTGCAAAAAATGGTGTGTGTACAGTTTATTTCTGTAACATACACTGGATATTCAGTTTGAATTGCTGTAGAGTCCCAAGAATTGAAGTAGAGATAGCTAATGTGGGTGTGTCTGCAGTTTTATAGATATCCTGGGAAATACTGAATAAGCAGTGTTAATTGTTTTTCTCCTTTCTTTTTGTAGGATTTGTGTGTGATTGTCATTGTGCTGTACCACGGTGAAGAGGAATTTTTCACTTCAAGATACCTTGCATTAAAAGATCATGGTAGACAGTTTAATAGTTTCTTTGAGGTAAGTGATGCAATAAAACATTTAAAATCTTATTTAATATGCTCTTAACACACTGCAGTAAATTTCAATTTGGTGGTCTCTTGCTCTGCTGTTAGAAATGTCTGTATTGTAGGAGGGTAAATAGAAATCTTGTCCCAAGACCAAATACTCAAGTATATGCATACCAGACATAGCATTCTTTGGTGATAGTGAGAAAAGAAAGTTCTCAGTGCTAGTTCATGCTTAGAGCATCTGTTAGTGTGTGCCAAGGTGATGGTCTGTATGACTGGAAAGTTCCTCTGCTTTTTGCTGAGGCTGTACAGTTACAGTCACTGGGCTTCAATTGCTGATTTGCATGTTTTAGTACCTGTGCTGCAATTCATTCATGGATTTGTCTTATGCATTCCTGAAACAGTTTGCCAGTGGGCAAACATAGGAAAGACCTTTCAAAGAGCTTTGCTAACAAAGGAAACATTCAGCTGTTCCTAAGCTGGTCTGTCCGGTTCTGCCCTGTCCTTGGGCGAGCAGATTCAGAGCACACAGGCAGCCCTGGTGCCACACAAACACAGGCTGCCCTCCTGCAGGCAATGACAGCTGAGTGCTCTGTCTTTGGGAGGGAGTTACTGTGACACCTCTGCTCCAACCTTGCTTCTCCTGACTTTGAGACATCAATATTTGAATTGCAATTCTGGCACCCTCTTAATATGCCAGGGCAGATTTTCCATCAAAACGGATCTGTCACACATTACTGACACTACCAGTGTTATCTTTCCAGCTGAAAGGTGACCTGCAAAGCTCCTCCCAGGCTGTCCCAGACTTGGGCTGTTCAGCAGACTTGAGAGGAAGTTGGGAATTTGAGACAAGAGCCACATTGCACCAGTCAGTACTGATCACCTGTGTGTGAACAATCCATACTTGGCCAGAAAATTCCTCCATAAAATGCAGCTACTGAGGGACAGCAACATGTGAGAGATCTGCTTTGGTACCCTTTAGCTTCATTCATGCAGAGCTAACACTCACTGCACTGAGTAGGAAGAACCCTGAGAGGTGTTCCTAAATGAGGTGTTATATTGCAAAATTTTTCATGCTACTCCTACAATAGACCTAATTTTGCCTTGTGCTTGTGCCTCCCAGTCTTTCCCAGTTGTTTATGTTCATGCTTGTATTTAAGCTTCTCTTTTATGTTTTTATATTATTGGCAATTGGTGTTGCCTGTAAAAGAAAGTGAGAGAATTTAAAGTCTGACTTTGCTTCAAACTGGGTGCTTGGCTCCAAACAGAGCCTCAACTGTGAGAGCAGGGGCTGTGCCAGCAAGGTTCTGCACCAGAGGCCAGAGTTCTACAGCCACCCATCAGCTGCAATTGGTACCTCACCTGGTCAGGTATACTTGAAAAGTTTTGCCTTATTTTGAAAAGCACTTGTTCTTTTTGGCTTTTCTGCATTGTGAGGATACCTGAACCAAACCCACTGAAATTGGAGAAGCCTTTTTTGTAGCTTGGGAGGCTTAAAGTTAGTCATGCATGACAAATAAAAGAGCCTAGTCCAGAGAACTTAGCCAAAGCGAGCTGCTGAGGGAAATAACATTAAAAAAATTAAATTGCCACACACTGATTTGAAGCTGGGGCTTACCTCAAGATAGTTTAAATATTCCTGGCAGATTTCCTGTGTGTTTGAAATAGTAGCTTGATACCATTGTTTTTGACAGATCCATTTGCAGATACAGAAGCAAATTTAAAATCTGTCTTTATTGTCCTTGAGCCTCATAGATACAGATGGTGATTGCAGTGCAACCTCCTTAAAGAATGGTCAGGAAAAGCCTGGCACAGAGTAATCACACATATACTAAAAGTTTGCTGTTTAGAACTGAGAACTTTAATCTGGTAAGTAATTTGCTTTGAAGATTACAGTTCTCATTCAGCTCAGAACTCACAACCTTGTGCATGATTTCAGAAGAATTTACACATGGAAATCTGTAGAATGTCAGACCGATCAGAAAAATCCTGTCCTGTTGAGGATGAAAGCATTCATTTCCTTATGGGAAGTCTGAACTTTCTTTCACATGCTCTGAGGGATTATAGGGAGCAGAAGCCATAAGGGAGCAGGGGTGGGTAGGAAGACTCTGAGATGAAGTTAAATATAAATTGCAGAGGATGGAGGCTGGGCCTATCAGCCACTGCACTCCACCTATTTAGATGCTTGTCGTTCTTCATTGACAAGAGTTGGGAAATCATTTAAACACTTAGAAAAGAGATAGGCAGGTGAGTGAAGACAGACTTGATGCTGTAATTTTGCAGTTTGGAGGTCTGGGTTCTATTTCTGCCTTTGATTTCAGGTGTGATTTGCAAATCAGTTTATTTATTTGTGCCTTTGGCTTCCATGTACCACTGTGTGATTGGGCTCTGCTCTGAACTGAATGTTTTGACTCCTGCTGTGATTTCTTTATTTCTTACACTGGCTTTGATTTCAGCCACCTCCTCTGTATTTTGTTTTATCACAAATGATAGCTTTGTGACATACCAGACTTCCTTCTAACATGCTTTTTAAAGGGCTTCTTTTTTTCTCCCCTAAATTGATGTGGCAGTAAAGAAGTAATGACTTTTTCTGGCCTTTCACTGGTTTATTGCTTTGATGGGGGCATAGATGGTGAGGTGATGATAGGCCATGTGCAATCAGTACTTACCTAATGGTTCCTTTTGCAGTATATTAGCAAGAACAAACACAGAAAACACAAGATAAACATTCTCCCTAGCAGAAGAATATTTGTATTGGTGGTAATTAAATGCTTAGTTTTAAAAAAAACCCCTTTCTCTTTAGGAGGTCTGTCTCAGAAAATACCTGAAACAATAAGAAATGTTTGAAGGGCTACTGGGTAGGGAGCAAAGGAGGGAGCTGTGAGTAGGAAATGCAGCTGGATTTTGTCTGGTTCATTAGTTTGCAGATGTATTTTGTATCCAAATCCATCAGTTTTATTTCTGCATTGAAATTCAGCAAATCATTAGCAGGTTTCCCCCTTATAGTGGGTCTGAAACATACTCTTGGTAGTCTGAAAAGTCAAGCTTCTGGTAAAATAAAGATACCTTGATCCTATTTGCCATACCTGTCCATGTTTTCTGGTGAAGGGGCTTGTTAGAAGGAGACAAACCAGTTTCTGTTGCAAATTTTAGCAAACAAAAGACTGAGCTAACTGTGCCTAAGTTGTAACAGGCTCCTAGGAGTCACTAAAGTGGTGAGGCTTGACAGAAGAGTTTGTTTGGGCTTGGTTCCCATTATGACTCCTTTCAGACTGAAGATGTGGGGACTGGGGTGATGCTTGGCTGCTTATCCTCAGTCTCTGGTGGGCTGTGTTCTCTACTTTCCATCCTCTGTGCCCATTAGGTTATTTAATTTTCACAAGTGTTAAGCAGCTGGGGAGGAACCTATTTTCTGTTTGCTGTGTGCTGAAGGTGGAGTGTTCATCTGTGAAATGAGGAGCCAGAGCTAGAAGCAGATGTGGTACACAGCTGGGTGAATTCTTACTTAGCACTTTAGAAAACTTGCAAAGCATATGGCAGCTTCACACTGAATGCTGAGGTGTGAAAATATGCACTGCCAGGAATTTTTAAATTTAAACATCAAGTTATATGAAATACTATCAATGGATTCTATTTGGTTCACTCTTGCTTTATAGCTGGACAAATCTATGCATGAACCTGGTTCATACATTCAGGTATGAGCCTGTTGTGAACAGAATCTTATATGAACATTTCATACAGTTCAGTGAGTCTGCTTTGGTTAGCAATGATATTCAAGTGTTTAAATATCTTCTTGCAGTGTGAAGCCCTGTAAGGATGTGTGGTTTGTGTTAGTGGTAATTATCTGTTCTGTTTCACTGTTTGCCTTTTCAGACTTCTCAGTTCCCTAGCAGTGCTGGGATTTCAGCTTGTCATCCCACAGCCTTCAATTGAACACAGAAAGGTAAGCATTAGAAACATTCAGACTTTGTGTACTGAAAAGTAAATGTGAAAACATAGAATAAGAAGTGTAAAGCAATGCAATCTGAATAATGTTCTGGGAATAAATGGCTTCTGTTTGTGCATATGGGAGTTTTTTTTTTGTTTCTTTTTTTAATAATTATATACATGGTTGAAAGAGGCTCATCATGGTTACTTAGCTGAGTAGTTGTATGGAGTATTATAGGTCACAAATAGTTACTAAAGCTTTGGAGCATTTTCATCATGCAAGACATGGAAAAAGAGAGCAGGCATGGAGTGAGCAGAGAACCACCCAGCTGCTCACAGGCAGCTCTTTCTCTTGCAGAGATAGAAATGTCTGAAACAGAAGCTGGACCCAAAGCACTCTGTTGCTATTCACATTGCTAGAGATTGGAGCTGGAAACTGCTGGAATTTCCTGTTGTGCTCTTGTGGATGGTTCACTCATCCTAGACATTGGCATCTCTAGGAAGGCTTGCAGCCTGCACACTTTCCATCCTGCTCAGCATTAGGGAGTTCTTGGCTGGAGTCCTTGGGTTTTTGCACTGCTTTTCAGGAAAGGAGTGAACAATTTGGAGAGAAACAGAAAGCAGCAGGGATTATCCTTAAGAGATTTTAAAATCTTACCTCTGAAGGAAATTTGAACAAATTCATATTGTTTATTCTGAAGATTGGAAGACTGATGCTGGAGGAAGATATAACCTTCAAATACTTTTGAGTACTAAAAAGAAAGGGGGGTATAGATAGTGAGGTTTTTTTCTGTTTAGTGGAACAGATTTAATCTGAGGCGAAGGAAACTTAGGTTTGACATTAGAAAACACTTGTCATGGTAAGGATATAAAGAAGATTATATTGATGGAATAATATTTAGAATTTCCATGATGTAAGTCTCTGTGAATGTGTTGGACGAATGTTTATCAGGAACAATGTGCAGGTGTTGCTGATTCTGCCACAGACCTGAGGCAAGATCCCTTGAATGCTGTTCTGTTTCTTTACACTCTCACCACATTCACTTGATATCAATGTTGTTCTCATATCTTAATAGGTATCTCATATCTATTGGTATTAAAACAAAACCAGTTAATCATTGAAGGTATCAAATAACCTGTTTAAAAACAAGTTTGCTTTTTACTATAGATTTTTAAATAATAATCCAAGATGTGTATTTTTTTGAAAACTATACTGTTAAAAGGAGATAAAAGGCAAGTTTGCAGGGTTTCCCTTTTTTATGTGCATGTGCCACTGTCTTTAGGGTAAGAAGTTATTTGGACAATAGCCTCATAGGTATGGACTGGAAACCTGAAGCTGTCTGATTGTCAGAGTTCCAGAAGAACCCAGAAGTCCTGTTAACTCCTTGTGCAGCCTGTTTGTAAGACAAGCTAAATGAGGTCAGTAACACGGGGTGTGAAACTGGCCCAGTCCAGTCTGCTGCCAGCTGTCCAAGGGCTCTGTTCTAAACTGCAGGACAATTTAGTATTTTTGCCTATCTTACATCTCTTCTCTTTTGTTGTGCAGTTGAGATGGTCCCAGCTGCTGCTCTGGTTTCAGTACTCTGTCTGATTAGACATTCTTTTGTAACACTGACAGTGGAGAGATGCTTCAGTCCAGCTTCCAAATGGCCTTAGGGGGAATAAATCTACTAACTAAAGTGGAGTAACTCAGAGAAACAATTGCTTCATTCTGGGAAGCCCCGGAATTAATTTAGATAAAATCAGATTCTTTGTTTTCAATTGAATGAGAAATGCCACGGGTCTGGAGTGTGTTCCATCCTAGTTAAAGGGACTTAAGGGCATGGTAACCACCTTGGAGATGTCCCTTTTACTGAGAACAAGGCACAAGTTTCCTAGTGACAATCTCACACGGGCCCCAAGGCTGGCTGTCATTCTCAGCTCTTACCCTAAAGGAGAGGATTCTATTCATGCCAAACTGTGTTTAGGCTGGAACTTTGTATTTATTACACTTTTCACAAACCTTCTGCCCTACCTATAAGCTCCATGCAAGAGGGGCTGTTAGTAACTCTGAAGGCCAAGTCAGACATGGGTTTCTGAGTGTGAGTTCTCAGCTTTGTTGCTCTGGAGGTTCTTTCTTCTATTCTTTTCCTGCAGTAACCCCAACATATATTTGCTGACATCCCCTTGTATTTCTGGGTGGATGTCTCTGCTGTTTGGCAGGGTTCTTTCTGTGTGAGAGGGAGTTGGTTGTGCAGAAAGAAAGAAAGGGAGAGGAGGAGGATGAGGGATTTGATGAAGAATTTTAACAAATAGTGAATAATGGAAGTGGTGTTTGCTGACTTTCATATATCCACTCAAAGGGTACAGTATGGGGAATCAAATAACTAGAGCTGAAGTCTGATGAAACATTAGACCATAGCCCAGTTCTTACTGTGTGTTTATTTTGCATTAAGCTAAACATGATTTAGCAGCTTGCTTCCTCAGATGCACACACAAAAATCAGTTTCTGGCATAACAGCATAAGACTGATAGCTAGAAGAATGAGCCAAATTACTTCCATAGCATGGAATTGCACATATTGGAATTAAGACTTGGGGAAATGACAAAACCAAATGGGAAGGTTGTGGGAGAAGGTTTGATTGGGCAATGTTTTCTGCTTTTAGACTTTATTATTTCTGAGTAAAAGTCTTGGAAGCTTGTCAGACATATAAAGTCAGAATTGACCAATACAGACTTTGTAGTTCCAGAAATACATGGCTACCTGAGTTTTATATAGATGTAGCTTTTGAGCTTCTTTATGTTAATCAACACTGTCTCTGCTGTCAGAAGTGCACAAAAACTGAAAACAAAACCCAACTTTATATGTTCCTACATCTGAGTTTAGGTCACTACTCTGTTACTCCTATCTCTAAATTGCACAGGTTTGTACAGTAATGTAAATACATTAAATGTGGTATGTTCATTAGATAGAAATAAAAATTCTTTTTTTTTTTAAAGACTTTTATGGTTTTTTTGCTGAAGACAGGAGTTGCAGTGTTGGCTGGAAGTCTCTTGGAGCTTTTTCTAATAATCTAACTTATTTATTCCTCATGCATAGTATTTAATTTCTAATATCAAGTGCGCTCTGTAAGGCCAAAATATTCATCAATAACAGGATAAAACAGGGAAACCTTATGTGAAACAAAATAATTGCCACTTGCCTTTTAAAATCAGCCAAGGTCTCTGCAGCTGGATAAACTGAAATCTTTCTTATTATTTGAACAATTTACTTGCCTTATCCTCAGTACTGGACATATGAACAGCCCTGCTGCTGCTCATGATGCTGTCAAATTCTCTGTTCTCTTTCCCTATACTTATTTTATTGAAATTTAACCTTATCTGAGAAGTGTCATACTGTGGTGAACTGAAGGTTAAACTATAAACAGTCTTTCTCCTAGACAACCATTGAAGTCTCTATTCCCAATTTTCCAGAAGTCACTCCTGGGTGGATTTTTGACTACTCATATGTTTCTGTGTTAGGAAAGTAAGCTGTAGTTATAATTATGCCTTATTCATTTTAGCAAAACTGGTAATGGAAATAGTAGCAAAGTCTGTCCAAATAAAATTTCTGACATGAATATTGCTTTGGTTTAACATGTTGCTTCTGTTATGGCACTAAATATGAGTGTTGAAGCAACAGAAATTGCTTTGAATTTATGCATATCTTCTTGTCACTCAGTTGTAGATGAGTATTGAGTTCAGTGTCTTAACAAACTGATTTTTATTGTATGGAAGCAGTGTCAAGATTTATTTTTACGAGTTTTTCATTGGGCAGTACAATACTGTTAAAGAATTTTGAGCTTCTTTGGGCTCAGTGTAATTTCTTTCTGCTGGCTCAAAATTAAAGAAATAAACTTGATGTTATCTCTGTCAGACACACAATGTTTCTATGAAAAGCAACTATTTATCAAGTGAATGTGACTATACTCCTCACGGAATTTTGAGATTAATGTGCTTTGGGATGTGTGTTGGGGTTTGTTGGCTTCAGGTTTTTTGGCTGTTTTTTCCCCCTCTCTCTTGTGTTGGATTCAAATACCTTTGTGGAGGGGTCATCAAGAGCTAAGGAACAGCATCCAGGATCAGAAGCAAGAGCTGAGGGAAAAGAGTGGAACAGGGGGAAGGAAAAGGTGGCCAAGATCTCTTGTTTGGTCATGGTGAGCAGTTTGAGCAGTTCAGTTTCTTGGACACGCTGTAAGAGAGGGCAATGTGAAGCATGGAGCAAGTCTGCTCTGTCCTTCCTTGGAGCAAACTGGAGTAAGACAGAGTAGTTGATCTCCAAGCCTGGCTTTTGGCCAGGCACCAGGACTAAAGCCCAACAGCTGTCAGGAGCACCCTGGGACCTGCACCACAGCTGGCCACCACCTTGCCTTTAAATAAGCTCCAAAGCAGAGGCTTGGGAGGGAGGGCTGTGCTCTGCCCTGCAGCCCAGGCAGGGTGAAGCTCTGCCCCAGGGTCAGCAGTGACCCAAGTGTGGAACTTGTCAGGATTTGCTGAGCTGGAGCTCAGCTCGTGCTGACAGAGCCCCAGCAAAGGCACTGGGGTCTGTCTGTCTGGGCTGTGCAACTGAGCTGGATTGCACTGCAGAGGCTGAGTCACTGTGCATTTGCACAGCTGCTCTTCCTTTGCAACAAACGCTTACAGGTGTCACCCCTTCTTTTCTGGTGATGTTTTTGTTTATAGGATAACTGCTGTCCATTATTTGTGTTTTCATCCACATCACTCGTGTGAAACACTTCCAGCTGCAAGGGAGTCCATATTTCTCTGGCAGTTTTTCACTGGTCAGTATATCTGCTTGCCTTTAACTGTACAGATATACATCTGCTCCTTTCAGAACCTTTGGTAAAATAGTCTTTTCACTAATGATGTTGCCATTCTAATTGCAGTAGTCCTTAGGAGATGTGATTTAAACCACAAGAAGACTTTTCCTTTAAAATTAGCCTGTTAGTACAACAGAATATTTAGAACAACAGCTGAAAGAATTTTCTTACTATCTCT